TAATATATCCAAAACCTTTATCCATGATGACAAATGGATAAAGGTTTTGCCTGTTCGGAAAATGTCCGAATTACCTGTGAAATATATAAGAAATTGCTCGCTATTATCATTATTACTATATTAGGATCAACACACACAATATATTATATTAATCAAGGTTGGATGAAGCATTGACGAAATCGACGACGGATGTAACATTACATGCCAATCAAAATTTTAATTTTTGTACTATATAGTTACATGACAAAATTTCAACACAAGGTTACATGTGTTGATCATCGGATCTTTGATGTGTAGCTTCTTAATGGAATACACATGTAAATTTGATAAGCCGGACGTAACAATCAGACTTATTGAGTCTACATGTGTGCGTTCATGAATTTCATGAATGGAAGTTCTCATTTCTTATCATTTAAAGATCATATATTCCATTCACTTTAAATTACTATGTATAAAAGAAAATAATATTATTGGCATTAATTTGATTTGCGGTGAAAAAGATGTAATAACTAATACTTGAATCCATAAAACATTGTTGATGAAATGCCATCTGCCAGAATTTAGTTCGAAATTCTTGAATGTAAAAATTTTATTTGTCCAACATTTAACATATTATAAAAACGTACAAGTTTTCCCCAATGTAGTATATTTTTTATTTAATTTATCTAATAATAAGAAATGTATATAAATAAATATATCATACAAAGTTATTAACAATTATTATGGAACGGACCAACTACTATTACCTTTTAAAATTCATGTATAATATTGTATTAATGTCTCATATATATAATAATTCAAATCAAGTAATAGTCATACATTACATGAAACAGTAAATGATTTTTTCCCCATACTTTTTTTAACCTTAAAAATAAAATTAAATTCTAATTGTTGGAAGGAAGAGGAGGGGAACATTTAAAGGATATTCTTGGCAGTCGTCAAGACTATTTCGGATTGAATCAAACTTCTTTTGTTCTATACAATTCAAATCTCTGAATGTCTTTTATTATTGCTATTACTGTTGTCATTATTGTTGTTATTATTATTGAAGTCGCTTTGTTTCCCTCTGATTTTCACGATTAAAAAGTTTATAGATAAAATGTCAATGGATTATTTTTATCTTTTCTGATCTAGATTTACCATATATGAAAGGCATCATTACTTTACCCCGACATCGGAAATCAGGTCATATTAATTAATATTCCAAATTTGTACAATAGTAATAGGTAAACCCTTTTAAATGTTAGCATTCGTGTAACAAACAATGCATTTTTTTAATTTTTATTTGGTCACGGGCAAGACAAAATAAATGATAATTTAAAATTTTTTTTCTTCCCTTTTTTCTAGAAACTTATAAATCAGAAATATTAGGATAAAGATCAAATCTTCGTTGATTATTCAATGGTATCGCTTGACGAAAAAAATTGATTTGTTCAAGGTCTATGTTATTGTTGTTGTTGTAGTTGTTGTTAATATATCAAATACAATAATTAATGAATTAATAATAGATTATGGAGAAAAGAATTTACCGATATCTGCATAAACAATATCTTCTTCATGGCCTGTTGTAGCGAGTATTTTTCCGCTGCATAATAAATTAATGTACATGTAAAATATCAATAAAAGAGTCTTTAGAAATTATTAAGAAAAGTAAACATGTACACAAAGAAATTGCACATACCTTGGATCTACGATAGTCGAATGACCCCATGCATGATAATTAGCTTTCATATCACGCGCAGGAGAACATGTTGCCACAAAGAACTTTAAATATTACATACATACATACTTCACTGTCAATGAACGATAATAATATTTTTAGCAATTTCAAGAAAAAACATCAGAATCATGTTACTTGATTATCTGCAGCTCTCGCTCTTTGTAAAACTATGTTTTTTTCATACATTATAAAAAAAAAATTTTTTTTTTTTTTGCAAGTGTAAGTTTATGAAATGTTTTTAATGACAAAAGAAAAAAAAAAAATTTTTTTTGTAACTTACGTTCCCAATGTAATGGCCCAGTTGTTAAATTAAATGCTCCGGGATAAATCATTGCAACACAACCTTTAACATTAATATAGGAAATTGATGATAGATAGAATAATAATATTTATTTTATAATAAACAATTTCAACAATGTTCATCATTCTTTTTCAATTTCCTTGACTCCATCCCCAATAATTTCAATCCATTCTTTGTTCATTGTTTCTCATTCAAAATAAATATGTTCTCTCCATTCAAAAAAAGAATGAATGGATTTTAAAATTACCTTTTCTGGCTGCTATCATTGCCATTTCAGGAAACCTGATATCATAACATATTCCTAATCCCATTTTACCATATTCTTGTTTAATAAGAACAAGAATTTTCTTTATTAATATAAAATACAAATGATAAAGAAGACATTTTAATAATAATAATAATAATAATAATGATAATAATAATAATACCAGTTTCAAAGTATGTCAATGAATCTCCTGGGCTTAGCGTTTTACTTTCTTGAAATGTGATTTTTCCAGGTATATCTATATCAAACAAATGAACTTTACGATGTTTTGCAATCAATTTACCTAATTCAAGAATAAATAATATAGAATGAATTTTTAGAAAAAAATTTTTTTATGAAAAATTCCCAGTTTATTAAACATTGTAATTACCATTTGTATCATATGCCGTTGATGTATTATACAATTTTCCATTTGATTCATCTCGTTCAGGTATTGAACCTTCAAATTTTAAATTTTAAATTATTATTTAAATTATTAAGATTTATTGAGGCTTTTCAATAAATATATAGTTTGCTACTCATTCCATTCGTTATTATTATTAATTCACAAATTCATTATCTATTACCTCCAATTACATAAGACTTGGCTTCCTGATTGTGCATATACATGCATGATCCAATAAATTAACAATAAATCTTCAACTTTAATTCCACAAAGTGATAATATTTTTCTCACCTTTGCTACTTCAGATAACATCTTTATACTATCCCCCTGTGGTATATTTTCTGCATATTCATCAAAATATTCAGTTCCATATGGTGAATTAAAAACTTCCTACCCAGTTCAGTTAATATTAAAAAAACCGATATTAATTATGTAAACATTCAATGATAATATAAAAAAAAAAATCAGCTCTGACAAAACTAAACTGGCAATATAATAAGTTTTGCTCCATTGTTAGAAGCTTCCAAAATTTTATTCTTTGCATTCGTCAAGTTTGTTTGTTTGTTTGAGGTTACTGCTAACTGAATACATGCAAGTTTAAATTTCATTTTATTACTATCTCCTGTAGAAGAAGGAATTGATGTCGCTGTTGATGACATTTTATTAATGAAGCTTAAAACTGATTTATTATTATTTTTAGTTTTGAAAATGTACAATGATGCTCTTGATTTAGAAAATAGATGAAACATGAGGTTGGTTCCAACTATGTAGATCAAAATTACAACATTCTCTTATTTTTATGGAAAATTTCAAAATCTATCTAGCCACAGCCATAATAAAAACAGAATGAAAACTTGAAACTCGCTTTATTGACTCGGATTTTTCATTTTCATTTAATTATTTTATTTAAACGTTTTCTTTATATATAATAAACGAATTGCTTTATTATTATCAAAATAAAATTATATTTTTTTGCATGAATTTTAGAAAAATTTCCCTTTCCATATTAATCTTAATATTATGACCGCCTTTCTCAATTAGTGTGATGGCGTAAAAACCTTTTTCCCAATCAGTTTTAAGTTATTAAACTTAAAAAAACTCGTAATTAATAAAAACCCTAAAAAAATCTCATTCAAAAAGTGGTGTAAACACATTGTAATTAAAGACAAATATTACTCAAAAGCAATCATTTGTTAGTCTTTGTAAACAATCATAATTGTATTTTATACAATACTAATGCTAATATTGAAATCAAACCCATTACGGTCAGACGAAAATATCATGTGACTTATGCAAATTTTTATTGGTTGATCAAATGTAATATACATTAATTCGTCAAAAATTTTTTTTTTCATACATTTTCCACCAGAACTTGTTACTGGATGATCAATACTTTGGACACCTAAGTTATAAAGTTCACCATCTTCAAGATTTATAAGTTCATTTAGAAACAAAATTATCTAAAAGGAATAGAATTACATCCTAATAGAAAAGAAATTAATTAATTCACACAACATGAAAATTTTGACAACCACTAAAATGTTGCAGTATATGCTCAATTTTATCTATCGTTTTTAATTCATTCCTGTTTTCACCAAGTTTAATAATTTGTTACTAGACACATTTTTTTGTTTGGTTTCAATGATGTAATCTTTCAAAGCTTTAACCATCAGGATAAAAGAATCATGGGATTAACTACTGAAAATGTAATTATGATTTCAATAATTAATAATAATTAAAAAGGTAATAGAAAAAAAATTAGAAATCACAGAATATGTACTTTTTAACAGAATATAAAAAATAAAAAAGGGTTTAAATAAGAGTTTTTCCTGATAATGAAGTAGTATTATGGAAGAGTTCCATTGTGTCCTTTTCCTATAACTTCATCTTCATTAAGAACATAATTAATTTGCTCCCTTACTGCTTCATCTTGAATACCAAATAAATGGATTTTACATGGACTAAGGTAATAGATTTTACTTACTTGTTGATCTAAGTGTGGTACATGAACATTTTGGGCTCAATCATAACTATAATGTGCAGTAGCATCAATACTGCAATACTGTGTTTTACCCTTTGAATATTGTTTATCAACTAGTTTTCTTTGTTCTTCTGCCAATTTGGTGTTTTTATTGTAATAATTTCTTTCTAATTTAGCCTTGGACAGATGTTCTTTAAATCCTTCAAGTAAATCTTTAGCTTCTTCCTCTTGGCAAGCATTGTAATGTAAACCATCTTTAAAGTGTTGACAAGTATCACATAGATCAGTCCTGGGACTCATAATTTGAATCTCTGGTGTCAATTGATGTCATAATGTTCTGAAGGCATCATATTTCAAGGATTTCAATTTGTTATCTTCTTCCAGACCAATTAGAAAGTCTCTGTGCACTGATTTATAACTCATTTCAGTTGGTAAGAATACAATTGATTGAGTTATTCTATTGATACTTCTTCCTGGACTTGGTAATCCATGGACTTCTGCATAATTTTCCAGAAAATTCTTTACTACTTCAGCAACATTTTTATCAATCACCATTTTAGTTTTCCATTGAGGCATTCTTTTAATATTACCATGAATTCTTGGTAGAAGACCATTGTTTATCAGATGATTTCTAATATTTTCAAAATAAGTCCTACCAATTCCCAACATATTGAGATAAGTTTCTTGACAAAGAAGTGTATTGTGATCCCAATGATAGAAAGTTCTTTTATTAGATCTAGTTTTCTTTTTAAGGCATCTACTAGTGCTTATTGATCCACCATCCATTGCCTTAAGTTGGGCCATCAAAAATATATCTTGTTCAGACTTGGAAAGAGCTTGAAATGACTCTCTTAATTCTGCAAATCCATCCTTGGGAATTCTCAAAGAGCAACCACATTTACAACCTTTTTCTAAAAAATTGATTGCCTCTTCATATTCATTAGAACCATTATATTCATTGTTTTTGTTAACACTCTTCATATACACTTATCCCTATATATATAATTTTATGTTCACTTTGTAGGTTTTTAATAATTGTTTTAAAATTGAAGAGGTTTTAAAATTGGCTCTGTTGTGACAAACAAAGTAGACAGAAAAGAATCAAATTTAAGTGGATCTGCAAATATATATCAATAATCAATAATTGATATAAAAGAGAAAATAAAAATCCTCAACTGATTCCATGAAAAATAATTATGCCTAGATTTAAATTAACTGCTATCAATGATCAAGATAAACTGGCAATTTTATTTCATTGGATAATATTAACCAAAAAGTTGTCAAAATGGTTGATAAAAAAGATTGAAAGAACTGTGGGAAGGTTTAAACAATCATTTGATAAAAGAACAGAGTTAAATCCATGATTTAATGAAACGATAACTGAAATCAGCAATTTATGTAGAAAGAAAAGGGTACTGCTATCTCTACTGTAAAAATCTATCAAAAAAACAAAATTTTAAAGCAAAGCAGGAAAAGGAAGATGTGGAGGCAAAGAAGTCAATAATATTACATACTATAGAACTAAGTTTTTATTGGATGCTGAGTATTAATAAAAAAATATTTTATCAAACCTATTGTGAGATAGTAAAATAAGGACCGATAGAGGGGTCCCGCGTTGCCGATCCAACCAAACCGAATTACTGCGGAAGTCACGTGAAAATGACATCACTTCTATTTTTATTTTTATTATTATATTTTGTGAAAATACTGCGCCACACATTGCGCAGTATCACACGTACAATTACT